CAGAAAAGTGAAGTCTATGGTCCTTCACCTCTCTTTGATCTTAGCATCCTACCTGTGAGGAGTTCAAACTGCCATGCTAAACATAGTCAATAAAAAGATTCTTAACAGTGACAGTGGCCCACAGAACATTCAGATCAATTCAACAAGGTTCTGCACAATGAATGTGTGCAAAGCACAGCAAGACAGAAATACGAAGAGCAGGGTCCCCTTTCTAGCAGACCTTAGAAATGAAGAGAAAGGAAGCGATCAAACATACAAACTACTCTGAGACTGACTGCACAGTACTGTGACACATCACCACCAAAGTCAGCATGTGCCATGCACTGCTCCTATCATTCACACAAACCTAATGTCATTCTACTTTCATGGCAACACTTAGAGATGAATCATCTTATAATTTCTGTTCTATGAAAGAAGTTAATTAACTTTTTCAGGCTCACAAAACTTGTAAATGGTAAAACCAACAGTTCAATTGAGGCAATAAGCCTCATAGAATGGTTAGTGTGAGCCACTACCTTGGTCTAACAAAGCAAAGAGGGAGCAATATGATGGGAAAGGCAACCCGCACCCAAATGCAGTACCTATCTCCACTGCCCTGGTAAATGTTAACAATAAAAACTGGGGTTGTTGCTCAGTGGTAGAGCACTTATTTGGCATGTGTGAAGCACTGGGTTTGATTCTCAGCACCACATATCAATAAATGAATAAAATAAAGGTCCATCAACAATTAAAAATGCATATTTTTTTTAAAAAGTCTATTGTGTTGCTGGACCCAGCCTAAGTAAAAAGCTCTTTGAATTTAAGATCTGCTCAAGGAAAATCCGTATATAAAGCAGATGATTGAAAAATATTAATATTCTAAAATAGGAAGAAGGGAAATCTTCTTATTGTCTATATGCCAAAAGCAGAAACCAGCACCCCTCATTTCTACCTCTGAGATGAGTTTTGATAACCCTAAGAAATGGTTTTTGTTGCTGACTTCTCAAAGGACAATCACACCATTTTTCATCCCATTATTAAAGAACTTGTCAGTCTGCCTTTACATGATTGAGCAGGTGGTTTTACCCTTCCCCCCGCTTTTATGTACCCAGAGTGAACAGGTCCTGGTATCACTAGGAGAGTAGACAAAAGCCTCCCAAAGACAAGTGGCAGGAAAGGTTGCATCTCAGAGTCTGGGAGGGCAGCTAAAAGTCAGGATTTCCAACCAGAAGGGAGAACAAAGAAAGCCCCCTAAAAGTGTACTGCTCAAATAATATTAACACAAATTCAGTACCATCCAGTGCTTAAATAGATCAGGGCAGTCATACACCCATTACTGTGAACACCCTGAAGAACACACCTCAAATCCCAAAGCACCTGTTTGCCAAGCCCCGCCACATAGTTTGACCAACCTAATTTCTTCCATAATCTCCCATATTTCTGAACTGAATTTTATTAGAAAATAACAAGAACAACATCAAAACTTGTGGAATGCAGCTAAAGCAGTGCCTAGAGGGAAACTTCTAGCTTTAAATGCTTACATTCAAAAAGAAAGGTCTAGATTCAGTCCCAAGATTCACCTTAAGAAATGCTTAACAATCCAAGAAATTCTAAGACTCTTTAAGATGCCACTAAAGGCACAATAGATTCCTTTGTTGAAGTAGTAAGTAGTTTGTTTTCTATACATTGTAAAGTTTCTGACCCAGCCAAATCATCAAAATTAAAAACAAGCAAGAAGGAAATAAATTTCCATAGATAAGCAAAAAATAAGATAGATTAAAAAAAAACTCCACTAACAGAAAAAGTTCATTTAAATTTTGAACCTACGACTGAGTACTTAAATCAAAGACAAGGCAAATATTTTCTCCTCACAAGCCCATGCAACTCCACATTACTTTAATAAACGGATTATGCAGTCAACATGCAAATGCACATGCTTCTCTCCTATGAAACAGGACCAAAATCCCCTGCAGTTTGCTCTGAGTTCTGTCAGGTTAGCAACATAATTCCACTTACACTCTCAAATAAATGCTACTATTCTGTAGGCTCTTCTTCCCCTGTAGTTAAAAGGTGGACAGAATTCCAAAGAAATAAGTTCCTTAACTTATGCCACTTTAAAGCATTCGTTTTTTATCAGCTGTTCCAACCAAAAAAAATCTGCAGCTCCAAGATGAAGATAGATTTCTTTGTTCACTCAGGAGTTTGAGTTTCATACATTTTAAAGTCTCTGACCCGTCTAAGTCATCAAAATCAAGAGTTCTGAGCCAGCACTTAGATTCTAACTTTACTCTTTTCTCCTGCTGGAGACTGACAAGACACAGACCCTGTCACTAAAAGTGAGCCAGGGCTACCCTGGGTTCCATTCCTGGCAGTGGGCAGCATACAAAGCCCGGGACAGTTAGCTGCCATGAACTTGCTCAGCTCCAGTTTCCTGGTCCACAAATGAAAACCATTTTAACCAATTCAACACTGCTCCAAAAGCCACGCAGACCACAGATGATATGCAACAGGTGACTTTAGGGGTACTCCGATTTTCTATTTTAATTACCGTAAACATAACTACCATATCAAACTTATGACTTCATGGATATCAAAGTTTCTTCCCAAAACAAATGTGTGTTCAAGTATAAAAAATAAATATCGATAATGGTTTCGCCAATATGGGATTAATCTTGAAGGCTGGGAGTCACCAGATTAAGTAACATCATGCCACAGCCTCTTATTGTCCAGCTGTGTGAGTGGCAGGGTGTACTTCCTCCATGCCATTTCTCCTTCAGCAGTGGATGCACTTTTGCACAAGCATAAAACACACAGGACTAAAAAGAATCCAAAGCTTAGGCTCTAGTGATAGTTCTATCGTTTGCCAGCCCGAACGACCTAAGGCGTGCCAATTAACCTCATGAGCCTCGGTTTCCAGACCTGTAAAATGGGGATCAGGGGGACTATACAGTGGATTAAAAGCAACAAGGCTTTTGAAAGTGTCTTGTAAACTGTGAAATGCTACCAAAGTATCAGTGGCTACACTTCTCAGTTACTGCAATGCCTGCTGGGCATGTAACTCTGTCTGTCCTTAAATTCCCTCCCTGTAATCTGGGGATTGGCCTGTGCAGCCCTTCTCTTTCAAGTGCTCCCAGTAAAACTCAAATATTATGTGCAGGAATCCTGGAGAATTGATTTTTAACAGAAAAACCTGGACATCAGCGATCATTCCTGGTGAAAAAAATGTTTGAATTCAGGACTTTTACTTCGAAAAATACTTTCCTAATAGACACTTCATCATTACCTTAGTCAGAATCCACTCTGCTGTAAAAATCTAGATTCTACCTCTCTGTTCTCCTGGAAAGAGGAGCTCTAGGTCAACTCTTGTTAAAATATTACCATCATTGTGCTATAAACCCTAGTCTATGCCTGTTGCTGCGCTAACAACATGTGTTCTTAGTAAAACAGAGAGAAACGTTAAATAGAACACCATTTCTTGAAACTCAGGGGCTCCAAACAGCTGAATCAGCATTTTGTGAAACAAAGTCTTCTGGGCCTGGCCTTTTAAACAGCAGCAAAGAGAAAGTTGTGCAATAACGCAAATTTACTCACGAGCGCTACTTGTTTGGGTCTTTTCTTTGCATCTCTTGAATGAAACCTTTTTCAAGAAAACATTCTTTCAAAAGCATCCTAAAGATCAAGGCCCCTGTAAAATCACCTGTGGCTCCCCTACTTTACCACAACATTTTATCAAACCAAACGATAAGAAGTTGGCCTTTCTTCCAATCCCAAGAAAATTCGAACACAATAAAAAGTAAAGAATACCCTAATTTCCATAACGCACATGCTCAAGGGCCCTCGCCAGGCAGGCGTTTGGAGAGGCAATCAGCAAAGGCGGAGAGTTGCATCAGAAATTTCCTTCTGCAAACGGTACCGCTCTTATCACGTTTCCACGGCTGGCGGGCGGCTAGTTCGCGAGCCCTCAACTTGGTGTTAGGCCCCAGTGGCGGGTAACAGGGTCACTTCACCGGACCACGAAGAAGAAGAAGAAGAAAAATCCTCCGTCGGAGGCTGGGCCGCGCTCGGGACTTGGGAGTGTCTGGCACCGCTGCCCGGCCCGCCTGGGCGCGCGCGCCGAGGCCCCGCCGCGCAGCAGGAACACCAGGGGCTCCTGGGGAGCCTGGGCGCCCACCCTTCAGGGCGGCGGCCCGGGGGAGCGTGGCCTTGACCGCAGCCCCCGCCCCAACCCCCTAGCCGACGGCGTCTGACAAGATGGTTCAAGAATGCGACGCTCGGACTCCACACCTCCCCCCAGGGGTCGAGAGCGCAGCGGGGAGAGCCCGGCGGGGCGCCCCGCCGCCTCGCCAGCGTACCCGAAGTCCCCGTCCCGCCTCACAGTACTGCCCGCCACGGGCCTAGGGTGCAGAAGCCCCCGGCCCTGAGGCGACGCCCTTCCGTCCGTTGCGCCTCCGCGGGGCCCGCCGTCCCTGGCCGCAGCCGGCCAGAGCGCAGACAATGACGGCGGGGACCCGCCCGGCCCGCCCGGGCCCCGCGGCGGCGCGGACCACAAAGTAACTTGCTGCCGCGCTCCCCGCCCAACTCCGTACCTGCCGCGGCGCCGCTCCTCGCCGCCTCCGCGTGGCCGCCGGCGACACTCAGTGCAGCAAGCGGCGGGCACAGAGTCCCCTCGGGGCGAGGACGGCGTGCAGGACTGTCCCGGGCGCCCCGCACTGCAGCCTCCGCCCAGGGGCTGCGCGGAAACTTTGGGCTCCGGCGGGTCTCCGAGCGCCAAGCTCGCCCGCCCTCTCAACAGCAGCTCCCTTCCCTTCCTGCCTCCTCGGGGCCTCCCCACCCCCTCGAAGGGCTTTAAACTCGCCCGGCCCCGCCCGCCCTCCCCGCCTCCGCCTCCGCCGCCGCCGCCTCCGCCTCCTCCCCCGGCCGCTTTTCCTGCTCCTCCTCCCGCCGCCGCCGCCGCCCGGACCGCTCGGCGGCCGCCAGCGCGGGAGGAGCCGCGGCCTGGGCGCAGGGCGTGGCGCGGGGCGCGCGGGCCCAGCCGCCTCGGGGGCCTGACGCGCCCGGAGCCTTCTGCCCCGGGCCAGCGCACGGGAACACCTCCTGCTGGCCCCCGGGATCCCTCGACACCGAACCGCGACAGTCGAGCAGCCGACAAATCGGACCCGTCCCGAAAGGCATTTTGTAAACGAATTGTTTGAAACTCAAAAAGTGTTAACTGTACAATTCAAATCCTTTAACCGGGACAAAACGAAGAACGAACTGCGGCTGGCGGTCCCTGGCCCGGTGAAAGGCAACCTGGGTTTACTCACAGGCGGCCAAGTCTAGGGCCTCGCTTCTCCGAGCCTCAGTTTCTTCGTCTGTGTGTGTGAGTATTGGAAGGCGGGCGTAGAGAAGCCCTTCTTTTTTCCTTAATGCTGCCTCGAAGTTGGGGAATAAAGCCCGCCTGTGAAGTGATGTCCCGGGATTCAAAGAGGTCGTACCGGGAACATAAATTGACTGCTCGACGGATTCCGGAATTAATGAAAATCACTGCCATAAATGATTCTTAATGTCTCTATTGTGTCAAAGTTGTAATACAGATAGTGTGACTTTGAGTGTGTCTCTTTCTGGGTCTTGAAGTTATAAAAACACCTACTGCAATAAATTACTTTCAGTGAGCAAACACTTTGTGCAAAACATTCAAGAATGCTCGTTTTTAACCCTCACTCTGGTCCTCTTAGGTGATTCCTAGGAAATACCCACTGTACAGAGCCGGAAACTGAATCTCCAAGTGATTTCTGAAGGTCAAGTAGCTGGTAAGTTCAGGGCAAGAATTGAAAACCGTTCATTGTCCCAAAACCCTTTTTAGGCACTTTTTTTTGTTTTAAACTCTTGTTTCCAGCATAGTTGTTCTCACCTTAGACCGTTGTAATCAACGAAAGGTCAACCTTTTCTATAACTGAAACGGGCCTCTCCAAAATTTCTGTCCTTTGGTCCAAGTTCAGAATCCCAGAAGATAAAAATCAAGAGAGAATAATGTGAAAGGATCTTAGATTCCTGGAAGAAAGGAGCACAAAGGACTCTTATTGTAGATAAAGAACACAAAAGAAAATTAAGGAGAAAACTATTTGAGCCAACTTTGGGCAAGTTTATAAGCTTTGAACATTGTAGCTATGCAAGACGTGCTCTGATCAGAAATCCATGCCTGTTCCAGACAGAAAGCCTGACAGGTCATGGGACTTTTATAGATGTTTGAAAATTTCTACATACTTGGACATGGTATTTTTTTCAGAGCCATTTGTGGATAAGTTCCACATTCCATGGCCCCTTACTCCTCGGCACATTGGTGTGTTTTTTTCTACGAGTAGGGAGATTATCTTACACAGCCACAATGCAGTTACCAAATTCATGAATTTATGTTGATAAGATACGTGTATCTAATCTAGGTCTATATTCCAGTTTTGCCAGTTGATCTGATATACTTTACAGTATTTTTTTCCTCTTGATTGTAAGATCTTTTCTAGGGCCAGACATTGCATTTAATTGTCTCAAATTGTGTGAGTTTTTAGATATCACTACCAACTGAAATAAGGTGGAAATAAGTTTCAAGTGTTCTCATCCTGGCATTGATTCCTAGAATTCCTGGGACAGGCCCTCATTCCCACATTTCCTGGCTCACTGAGGACTTCGGTGAGCAGGACCCACACAGTACTACTTTCTGATAAAAGTTCATGAACTTGCCACTCTGGAGTTGTAGAAGCTGCAACTGGCTCCATTCTGTGATCCTGGCTGAGCTAATCCTGTGACAGACTACCTTAGTAATTTCCTATCCCCCAAACTACAAATATCCCTACCTATATGCTTCCTCACAGGAGGATAGCAGCCGGGCAATATAGAAATGATCCTGGAGAACTCTACCTCCTCAGGCAAGACAGTGTGCCTTTATAGTTTCAAGCACCTCACCAAGGGGAAATGTATGAGCTGGATTTAGATCTCAGGACAAGAAACAGGATTCCATGATAGTGAAAAATTCAATTACCCAAATATGAGCTAGAAGATTCGTTCAGCTGAAAGTAGAGAATCTGATAGACTCTATTTTTTTAATTAGTAATGAATTGATTAACATTTGTCTCCCCAGTTGACTGTAAGCATGGTGATAGTGGTAACCATGTGCCCTTCACTAGTGTCCTTCTGGTAGTGGGGAGTCCCTAGCACAGAGAGGGCATTAAGTGGAACAAGTTATGTTGAAAAATAGTTATCATGCAAATGAATTTATCAGTAGTGTAAATGAATGGAATAATGGAATGATTCACTGTGAGCCTCAGGCACCATCTCGAACATTGCCAGTAGCCTTGGCAAAGAGAACGAGAATATGGTGAGTGGCATCCTGATGGCTGCTAGATGCTCTGACCAGCTGTGGTCCTCACTTCTCTCATTTGGTCACAGCTGTCCCTCAGCCCAGCCCCCATCGCACATGGTGCATGCATATGTTGCCCGGAAGGCAGAGCTGGAAACCAGTTATCATCTGTACAAAAGACTACCCACCAGCTCACCTGTGTGGGGCAGGGAGAGATCTGCAATCATAAGACAATCATAGTGCCTACCCCAAGACCAGGAGGAACCTATACACATTGCAAATTCCCATGCTTATCTAAGTCCTACAGCATCCATAGCTGGTGAGTTAATCTGCATTTTTTAACAGACTCCAGAACCATCTACGTGTGCACCAGTATTCCAAATACTTCAGCTCCTCAAACCCTCTAAACCAAAGTCATAGGCTGCCTCTGGAGTCCAGATGTGAGGAGACTCGTCACATTCAAGGACTTTCCAGTGATGGCAATGCCCCCATGGAGTCCTGGAACATCAAACATGGTAAGTAAAGCAAAAAAGGAACTAAAGAAAGGCACTTAGGTCCAGAAAGAGGCATGCACTTTAGACCAAAGCCTGAAAGACCTTGTAGTTACTTAGTCATAAAACTAAGTAACTACATTTAGTCATAGTACTCTGGAGATGGAGCTGGTGGGGAGGGACAGAGTCAAGAAATCTGTCAGAGACCAGGCTGATGAGGTAAGTGTGGACATATTCATTTATACATAACCTAAAAGTGATCAGAGGGTATAAGATATGCCGCCATTGGATTTACCAATATAATCCCCACCCTCCAAACTGGAGCTGCCCTGTGTATAGCCATCTGGCCCAAGTCCAGTTCCTTAGATAGGTGAGTCAGTGGGCAGAGTGATGAGTTGCACCTAGGATTCTGAACTGGAGGGGTTCTAGACCAAGGAGACCAGGTGAGGACAAGGCAGTTAGGCTCAGTATACACAGTTTATGAAAAAGGAAGATCCAAATAAATACTCTTCACCTCCCCTTTCCCTAGGTTTAGGCAGCTCCTGTTTAGAATTTTCATAAAATTCCATTCTTTGTGATACCTTAATATAAGCTCCCATGTTCCTAATAGCTTAAATCAAAATGACTTTATAACCAAAACAGGGGATCTCCGAAGGATGTTTTTACAGTTTGGTAAACTGAGGTATATTTTGCTGAAAGGAAAATTCAGTTATTTTAAAAAAATATACTTTTAGGATTTAGAAAGGGATGCAGCTGAGCAACCAATAAAGATACAGAGCAATTATTACCCCAAAAGTTTGCCTCTTAGTAGTCTCTCAGAGTTGATCTCCACACTTCCAATAAATAGTAATCTACTTTCTCTCCTCATAGTTTTGCTTTTTGAGAGTGTCTTTTGAATGAAATAGGGCAGAATGTCATTTAGCCTAAGTACTTCCCTTTTAATACAGATTAGGATCCCACTATATGAAACTGCACATCAATTTGTTCATTCATTCACTGGTAGAGATTTGGGCTAGTCTCAGTTTTAGGCAATAACAAATAAAACTGCTAGAAGTGTTGTATAAAGGTTTTTCTCAAAAACCTAAGTTTTTATTTGTCTTTGTAAATAACTAAAAGCAAAACTGGGAGGTCATATTGTACGTTTCATTTTATCAGAAACTGCGTATACCATTTGCATGCATGCCAAAAAATGTATGAGTGTTCTAGTTGTTCTGAAAAAACACTGGCTAGTGTCAGACTTTTAAATTTTAGCCATCCTTATTGGTATATAGTGATATCTCATTCTGATTTGAAGTTGCATTTTCCTCATGGCTTATCATATTGAGTTTTCATACACTTACTTGCTAAGCCTATTCATTGTTTTGTGAGAGGTGTATCCAAACTGTGTGCCCATTTTTAAAATTGGGTTGTTTGTTTTCTTACCAGTGAGTTCTGAGGGTTCTTTATATATTAGGGTATTTCTTTAGCATATATATGTCTCACAAAGATTTTTTTCTCAGTCTTTTCATTTTTTCAACAATGTCTTCCGAAGAAAAGTTTTCATATTTTAAATATTAAATCATCAATATATCCTCTCATGGTTTTCATTTTTGGAATCCTATTTAAGAAATGCCTGCCTAATTCAATGAAGGAACAATTTTCTTCTGTGCTTCCCTCCAGAAGTTCTATAGCATGAGCTCTTAAATTTGAATTCTTTTTTTTTTTTTTTTTTGGTAGGGAAGGGGAAAAGTGGTTCTTTTTGCATCTGGATATCTGCTTGTTCTACTGGGTGGCTTGAAGAAGTTAGATGATTCCAACTGAGTTTTTAAAAGCTCCATCAGGTTTTAACTGAGAGTCAAGGAGACCAGTTGAGAGACTTGCAGGTGGGAACCATGGTGTGACACAGGGGATGAATGAGAATGGACAGATTGGGTGAGGGTGGAATAGAAAAGAATTCATAAAGATGGGATACGGGTGATTGGAAGCATTTAGTGGGACTGAAGATATAATATAACCTTATAGAGGGATTTGGAAGACAGGGAATTATTGGAAAGATCAGCCTGGGCAAATGGTCAGCACATTTCTTGGGTTTATGTTGTTGGTGGTGGTTTTGGAGTGGAGGTTGGTTTATATTGTACTTAACATTTTTAGAAAACAATTCAAAGTCTGAATCTTTTCTATGAATCACATAAGTAGCTTCTCTTTCAAAATCAGCAGATCTGGCAATACAGGTCCCCATTTTTATTTAACAGCAGTGATCTTTTCCTGAGCAGCTAAGGCAGCCTCTTCATGGGGTATGCCTGTCAACACAAGTCAGCTTCATATAAAGGCTCAGTGCCTTTCAGCTGGAGCCTAGTGGCTTTGCCAGGAGCTTAGAGAAAGTATCTTTAAGGCTCACTTTTTCACCTGGAAATGGGGATCAGAATTTTCTACCTCTTTGGTGACTCTAGAGCTTAGATGAGACTACAGAGACCATGGGGCAGAGAACACAGTGCCTGTCATATATAGAGAGAATCAGGGTGCAGGGAGAGCTTGAGGTCCATGCTACTGTGGGAAGACGCCATCATAGAACAGTGGCAGAGAGCTTAGTGAGTTTGTCACCTCCCCAGGGCACCCTCTGAGACATCTTAATCTTAGTTGAAAGGATACTACAACCATTAAGATGCTTTGGGCTACAAGGAACAGAGCAAGGCTAACCAACATCACCCAGAAACTAGGAAACTAGTTTTAGAAACCTAGTAACTGCACAGTTTTGCCTCTAGTCAACCCTCAGGCAAAGTTTACCTGACATATGTCCCCAGTGGTGTCAATATCACAGAGCAGGTGCTGCCTCAGGCATCAGTTCTCCTGACTACTGTGTTCAGAGGGTACAAGAGGACATTTCTTCTCCCTCAACTCATGCCAGAAAACTTCAGGAGATTTCTACTCACATGTTAGGATCTAGGATGTGTCATGACATGAAGGACCATCCTAGCAAGAAGTAAGATGAAGATGTGAGCATGTTGGTTTGTGTGTGCATGTGTGTTTAGTATTGGGAATCGAACCCAGGGCATCATGCATGCTAGGCTGCTAGGCAAGTGCTCTGCCACTAAGCTACACCCCAGCATCTGGCATTTTTAACTTCTGTATTTGGGGCACTTTTTATAGCAAGAAAGAAGAGTTAAGGATAGGGGTGACTGGTGAGTGGACAACCAAAAGGACATGGACAAATAAATGACCCTTCTAGGAACAAAAAACCAAGACTTCCATCTCATTTAGATGTAGCTTCCTAATAAAATACAATCTGGGAATTAGAATCCTAGGGATGGCATGCAGTTCCAAATCCCTGGGTATCCAAACCTAGTTATGCCTATAAAACATGAGCAATTTTTCAACCTCAAAAAAAAAAAAAAGAAAGGAAAAAGAAAAAGAGAAAACTCAGCTTTTTAACTCAATTAGAAGTTAATATAACCACTAATGTCATTGTCGTATAAACTTTACTTAATGAAATATATCTCCATCCCCAAACACTTCATGATCTTAATAACTCAAGTTCCATAGCTAATAGAAGAATCCAGAATAAGGGCAAAATTACTTAATTGTTAAAATAAAAATAATGTAGAGCTACTGGAGATTTAATATTAGCACAATTTCCATAGTGTGTGAGGGGGTAAAGGAATGTATGTTTTTAAGGCAACACCTTAGAGTAACGTTTAAATTGTTAAAGCCAGAAAGTATTTCCATTATCAGCATCCACTCTTTAAAAGGATTAATCTGCCTGCAAGGGTTGTGAGACTACACAGAAAATAGGACAGATAATCCTGGAGATGTACTGGCTAAAGGATCATACAGTTGTACTTAGAGTGTTGAGAAGCCCCATCCAGGTGGAAGGTGATAGAGTTTTGGCAGAGAGGATTGTACCTCTGTTAGTCAAATTTGAATTGACTGTTTGAATTGCACTGAGGGACAATTCCGTTTTATAATAATGTGCAGAGAGTCATTCTCTTTTATTTGAAGATTGAGTAGCCAATCGTGACGATTTTTTCCAGAAGAAACTGTTTTCCCCTCTCTTTCTTCCCATGTCTTTCTGTTTCATCATCTTTCTTTTCATTCCTTCTTCATTCTCAAAATCAGCAACATCTTTTAGTGTCTGCCCTACATAGGCAGAGAATATATGTTTGTATGTGTATATGTATATATATATATATATTTCCATCCATCCATGGGCCAGTAAATATATATGTATGCATATATATAGCATATATATAGCACATATATATAGCATATATATGTGTATGTGTGTGTGTATCACATTAGACCAGCCACTTTGAATACATATTTCAGTTGATCCTCACAATAAATGTTTAGGTAAATAGGTAAATGCTTTACTTTTATAATTAGGGAAGCCAACGCAGAGAAGCTATGAGCTATGAGACTTCTCAAGGTCACTTAACAAATAAATGACAGGGCTGGAATTTGAAGGCACATTTGTCTGACTCTGAGCCCCACCTACCTATTCCCTCTATTCTGAGCTGTCTCAACTGTCATTTCTTGTCATTTTATTATTTGCCATGTAACCAGTCATTTCAACATATGACCTCATGAGATGTCTTTTGTGCAAAATTCTGCAATTAGATTTTAATATCATAAACTTCTTGCTATTTAGGATAGGTACTCAGTTATTTTTGGATCATAAAATGTGATCTCATTTCTACTTGTGAATGCAAGGTGGAGGACAGGGAGGGCCAGGAGAGGAAGATATTAAGTCCTTTATTGCTGTGAAAGATTTTAACCTGCCCTGGTCCTCCCACTGACCCTTTGCTTTTAGAGAATTTGAGGACTCAGTCATAATGGCAGCTTGGGAATTCTGACCTCCTGGAGCCCGGAGACATCCACAGGATGGGGACAGCACCTTGTTAAGTAGACCTAGAAATTGACAGTAGGAAGAAGAAGGGAACTAGGTCTGTGGGTAATGCAGCCAGGCAGTAGATCCAAAATGTCCTACAGGTGGGTTACCCCATAGGTGATGCATCACCAGGTGTCCTTTAAAAGTATATCATAGGGCAAGTTGATAGAAAGGGTCAGCAAGGCACGTGCATAGAATGAAGTCCAGGGATAGAGATGCAGTCAGTCTCTGGGCAAGAACAAGATGGACCTTCCATCCAGCAGGAAGTGTATTAGAGTTCAAGGTTTGTTTATAGAAAAGGTGGGTATCCTGCTGCTTGGAATGGGGCATGAGCTGACTTCCTGAACACCTCTATGGGGTTCTATCCTTTTCTCCTTGGGATTAGATGAACCACAGCATCTGCAGAGGTCTTTGAGGAAAAGTGGATGAAAAGAAACCATTTATAAAGCCTGTGCTGTGGAGCATCCAGGGGCCAGTGGCCTTGGAGTTGACTCATTCAGTTAGCAAATGCTGATTAAATGCTTACTATCTGCAAAGCACCATACAGATATAAAGTAATTAAGAAGGCAATTAGAAGGTTGGCATTGATGGTCTTATAAAGGCTTCCTTAACAAGACTCTGGGAGTGTTGGAATAGGCTCCTTAGAGAAGCTGTGATGCCCAGAACAGAGATGCCCCTAGGAGTGCCTCTCACAAGGAGGCCTGCATAGACCCTCCAAACTGTCAAAGGACCTAGAGTATTTGAGTCATCTGGAATCCAAGGAGACAGCTATGGCTCCATACGAGCAATCAGCAAGGACTGCATGTAGCAGCTGCTTTCTTAAAAGCTCCCATCTCTGCATGTCCCATAAACAGCTAGGGGACTCTTCCTGTGGAGGTCACTGGGGACTTTGGAAATAGGGACCATCTCCCATGAAGGCAGCTCTTCACAATGTCCTGGTGGAGGATTGATTTGGGGGCTGTATATTCTCCTCTAAGAACTTGTGCTTTAGAGTCAGAAATGGATACAAATTCTGCCTTTGTTTCTTATTTAGTTGTGTGATTTGAGGCAAATTATATAGACTTTTCAACTCAATTTCTTTAGCTATAAAATCAGGACAATAGTTCCTACCTAAGAGTTGTTTTAATGGATTTTTATATTTTACTTAATTGTTTCCCTAATGATTTAACAATCTAGTGCAGCATAATAAACCAACCCAAACTTAGTGGCATGAAACAATTGTGTATGTAGTATTATAAGTCAGTGATTAAATGATTGATTGATTGATTGATTGATATTGGGGGATTGAACCCAGGGATGCTTAATCACTGAGCTATATTCCCAACCCTTTTTAATTTTTAAACAGGGTCTCTATAAGTTGCTTAGGGACTCTCTAAGTTGCTGAGGCTGGCTTTGAACTTGCAATTCTCCTGCCTCAATCTCCCTATTATTGGGATTACAAGCATGAGCCATGCTGGGGGGTAATTTAGATGCAGCACAGTAAGGATAGTGGTGCTTGCCTCTTCTCTACCATACCTGTTAATCAGAGTAATTCCATGCTCCAGAGATACAATGGTTGGCTTAGCAATGGGTATGGGAATCAATTCAAACCAAAAGAGTAAATTGGGCCAGGGGTGTTTATCAGGGGTGCCTAGAAAAGGAATTTCCTTTTGGACACAAGCAGTGACTGAGAAAGTGTAGAACTGTGGGTGTGCTGGCAACCTTTCTGGCTCCATGGGGCATCTGTTGACAAGGAAGCTGACCATTCGGACCTCAAAGTGGAGCAGCAAAGGAATGTAGACACCCCAGACCACTTAACCCTGGTCCTCACATTCCAAGGGTGGACAAATGTCCCCATTATTTAGTTTTTAAACTATTGTTGCTTACATATGCAGCTTAAAGCATTATGACTAAATTAGTTGTTCATTAAGATAGCATGCAATACATACCTCATAAAGGGAAGGGTCACCTTTCTGCACAGAAGGCTCTGGCCCTTTTGCTATCACAGAATAAGGTACTCCAAATACTCACGAGTTAGGCAGGACTACTTGATCATTAATTCTACTCTTTTATAAGATGTGGATTTCCCTATGTAGGAAAGGTAAGTTTGGAAGCCTAGAAACTGAGAGTGGACCGCAAATCTTCAATGCAGGCTTTGGACCATCCACCCTGCCCTCTAGCTCACCAATAGCCCTGGCCTGAAACAGATTGTGGACATTTTTGGAAGATGCATTTGTCACCCTATAAGATGTTTTGTTTGTATTGTCTTTCAAAAAGATATGTACATACACATGGTAATATATTGCTTTTCAGAACGTGTTAAGGAATAACATCACCTACATCCATTCCTACCATATTAGTCAAATATCTCTTAAAGAGTCTCTTTGAATTTCAATGCCCAAATTCCTCACAAACCCCAAAAGACACAGAATCAGGGACACTGCCCCCCCCACACACACACACTGCATTATTCCATTTTTTCATTATTTTAGGGAAATAATTGAGGTTGAGTAGCTTTATAAAGAAAAGAGGTTTATTTAGCTCAGAGTGCTAGAGGTTCAAGGACATGGTCTGACATCAGCTCAGCTCTGGTGAGAGCTTCATGGTGATGGCATTGCAATGGCAGGAGAATATTTGAAAGGGAGAGACAGGAAGCCAGGGGAGGTTCCAGGTTTGCTATTTTCTTTATAAACCTCATGTGAGCTAAGCAAGATTCCAGTGGAACCTTAATCTCTTTTGAGGGCAAGGTCCCCAGTGACCTCCCATTTCTTAATGTCTCTTCACCTCTTAACACCAGCACACTGAGGACTATGTATCCAACACATGGACCCTTGGTTCACACTGCATTTAAACCACATCTGAACCACAGCAACCACTCAACCTGAGATGAGGCTATCACTGATCACTCATGGTAGGGTCTTTGGGGAATGATAGGTACAGTCCAAAACCCTGCAGAACAAGTTATGCTTCCAGAAAAGCTATCTAGAAATCCCATTGCAGTAAAGAGGACAGATTTGGGGATTTGTGATGGCTGTACCCCCTATTTGCCATGAGGTCTTGAGGAAGCCACCAGCAGACACCAAGCTGAGCATTAAGGTATAATGCAGGGATTATCTACTATGGGGTGGAAAATGAGTAGATAATGTGTCTGAAGCGCCTAGCAAGATGCCAGCCCACAGAAAGTGCTCATCAGTTAGATTTTATTATAACCACTACCCGAGGCACCCTGGTAATACTTGGAGTGTGCTCAGTTCCCACACTGCCATTTGGTGAGACACTTATTCTCATAGTCAGATGACTGTACTCATCTGTAACATCAGGAATCAACAGCTCCAACTTCATAAGGAAGCTTTTTAGGATTAATGGAGTGTGTATACATGGAATGCTCAGCAGTGTCTACCATCAGTAAATGTTGGGAACTACTGTGGATTCACTGTAGTTTGTCCACATCGAGACTCATGTCCAGGCTTAATTCTCCAGTGTAAAAACTTCAAGATTCTGGGTCCCTTAAAAAGTGGGGCCGAATGGAAAGTGATTGGATGACCATTCTCATGAAGGTAATAATGCTGGTTTCCCTGGGTGGATTAATTCTCTTGAGAGTGGGCTGGTAAAGAAGAGCTAGGCTGACTCCTTCTCAGTCTCTTAGTTTCCTGTCTCACCATATGATTTCTCTCTCTCTCTCTCTCTCTCTCTCTCTCTCTCTCTCTTTCTCCTTCTCATATTCCTCCTTCGTCCCTCTCTCTCGCCATGTGATGCTATCTGCCACGAGGTGCTGTGACCAAGAGGTTCTAAGTGGATGCTGGTACCATGCCATTTGGACTTTCCAGTCATCAGAACTGTGAGCTAAATAAACCTCTTTTATTTATACATTATCCAACATCGGGTGTTTGCTATAGCAATGGCAAATAAACTAAGACAGGCACTCTACCTCCATGTGAGCAATCCATATTTGTTGGGGATTACTATGTCTCTCAGCTCCATTGTTGTTTGTGCTCATCCTGCCAGGAAGATAACTTGACCCTCTGGTCCTCAGTCACTTTCTTCCTGGGGAAGAAAAGACTCAGAGCCACAGATGCGTCTGTCAGATGACAATGTCCAAGGAATATATTGTATACCTCCTGCCCAGGACAGGTCACCTGCCCCATCCCCACCTTATTAAGTTAACAGGTCCTTTAAAGGGATGCCGACCAGGTAAGCTTTGAGCTGGACCCCATATCCTCTCACCTGAAGGGGGACTCACTATACACATCCAGTCCTGGGACATTCATGAAGTTCAGATGGTGGAACCTGACATCAGTGACTGTATAACAAAAGAAAACAATGCTGTATGACACCAAACATCTCTTTTTACAGTCACCGGTGAAAGAATAAATATCCTTTATATTCACATGTCTCCAAGAAGAGTTAAAAAAAGTACTTGAAATGTCAACTATTTATATAACCTTTGGCCTTTCCCCAATATGATGTCCACGGTTCCATCTCAACACAATAAGAGTGAGTTTCATGTTCTGTTTTGGCTTTAGCTGCCTTAAGGCACCCCTTTCTATGAATCGATACCCTCCACATGCTTGTCTGTTGGGCATTTGGCTTGTTTCCAGTTTTTGACTGCTGTGAATAGCATTGCAATAAACACCCTCGGGCAAGCTGCTTTTTTTTTTTTTTCTTTAAAAACCCCTTCACATATCTTCCTACAACACTAATGTTTTCCTTTCCTTCTTTTAGCATAGCCAAGGAAGAAAGGATTCACTCAAGTTACCCTAAGCAAAAGGGCTCCTGATGAGGAATCTGCCTGTAACATGTGGACCACAGACTTCTCTTTCCTCCTTGTTATCTGCCTGTCCTTCATTTTACTGGCTGTTCCACTTGTGTAGCATGTGCCCTGTGCCTACCTTTCCTCAGGACTTTGTGGCTTCTTCCACGCTGACCAGTTTCCCTACAGTTTTGATTTCCGTTACCATAATAGGTGCCATAATTCATATTCCTAAGCAAGGCTACCCTCTTAGTCTAACCCACATTTCACACAGGGCTGGAGATCACTGATGAGGCAGGAGGGCCATATCTTGAAGGGAACTCAATGTAATTTTATCTCCAAGTGAAATTTTGCAAATCATTTCCCAAATCTCAGTGATTAAACCCTGACACCCTCTTATTTGCTCAGAATTTTCTGGGCCTCTTTAGACTAGACCTAGACAGGTGGTGCTTCTACCAGCATTAACTGGTGTCCCTCCTACAAAGCAAAAGAGCACAGGTGGGCTTGGGGGCTGCCAGGGGCTTCACAGTCTGGGGCTCCCAAGCCAGGACAACTGCCTGGGCTCCATGTGACTTTATCCTCCAGTGACTCAGACATTGTCTCAAGGTGAGCTCCACTGGGCAAAAGCTTTTCAAGTTTCTGTGTCACATTTGCTGAGGTCATACTGGCCACAGCAAGACAGGAGCCAAGACCAGCATCAGTTTGGGAGAGTGATCCTTAAGGGAACAGCATGTGATACAGTGAGCTTCAAGGCCATTGTTCTAATACCACCACATACAGGCATGAAGCCCTGAATCTCACTGAAAAGGGGTGCTTTTCATATTTCAAAGGTTTCATTTCTGGAACTGGTCACTGTGAATACATATCTTATAATTAAGCCTTGTAGTGTCTCATGAATAGCATGATCCTATTGCATCTTTTGCCTGTTTTTGTTAAAAGGTTCTTTTTGTTGTTGTTGTTTTGTTTGGTACCGGGGATAGAACTCAGGGACACTTCAACACTGAGCTACATCCCCAGCCCTTTTATGTATTTTATTTAGAGACAGGGTCTCACTGAGTTGCTTAGGGCCTCGCTAAGTTGTTGAGGCTGGCTTTGAATTCTCGATTCTCTTGTCTCAGTCTCCTGAACCACTAGGATTACAGGTGTGTGCCACCATGCCTGGCTTTTTATGAAAGGTTTTTATGTCTTTAATGTAAAAACATTGGGAATCTACCACACACCTTTGCAATCCTGCTTTAGTAAATTTTTTTTCTCATTTTTTTTTTTTTTAAAACCAGGTGCTGTACAAATGGAAGTGTCATAGCCCTCGACTGGCCCCTCCCAACCTTGGGTCATAAGCCTGGTAATAGGGTCAGCTGGTAAGTAAGCTGTTCTGGGGTGAGGTGAGGCCAATTCAGAGATAGAGATTAGTGTGCAGGACATTCATTGAAGGGTATTCTTGGGAACACCTGTGGAAGGGAAGGGAGGAAGCAGAATTGGGTGGGGGAAGAAGTGGAACAGCACTGCAGTCATAGGATGTCTTAGCTGGCCCCATGGGGAGCTTTGGTACAATTAATCTGAGCCCTTATTACCAACCCTCCCCCACTGAGCAGCTGTTGGAGGCAGCTGCTCCCAGTAAGAGGACCTAAGGTTGGGCCAGTCTTGAAGAGAGACTCCAGTGGATGATGGCAGCCATCCACACTCACAGCAGCTGGGAGAATGAAGCCCTTAGTCAAGGAAGGGGAACTGGGCCACATGGTCTGGCATCCACATCACTTCCTATATTGGTGTTTTCTGTTGCTATAACAAAGTTCTTGAAGCTGGGTGCTTTTATTTTTTTATTTTTAATTTCAAATATATTTTTTATTAGTTGTTCAAAACATTACAAAGTTCTTGACATATCATATTTCATACATTCGATTCAAGCGGATTATGAACTCCCATTTTTACCCTATATACATAATGCAGATTCACATCGGTTACACATCCACTTTTTTACCTACTGCCATACTAGTGTATGTTGTATTCTGCTGACCTTCCTATCCTCTACTATCCCCCCTCTCCTCCCAACCCCTCCCTTCCCGTCTTCTCTCCCTACCCCATCTACTGTAATTCATTTCTCTCTCTTTTTTTTTTCCTCTTTCCCCTCACTTCCTCTTATATGTAATTTTGTGTAACAATGAGGGTCTCCTTCCTTTACCATGCAATTTCCCTTCTCTCTCTCTTTCCCTCCCCCCTCTCATCCCTGTTTAGTGGTGATCTTCTCATGCTCTTCCTCTCTATTCTGTTCGTAGTTGCTCTCCTTATATCAAAGAAGACATTTGGCATTTATTTTTTAGGGATTGGCTAGCTTCACTTAGCATAATCTGCTCTAGTGCCATCCATTTCCCTGCAAATGCCATGATTTTGTCATTTTTTAATGCAGAGTAATACTCCATTGTGTATAAATGCCACATTTTTTTATCCATTCATCTATTGAAGGGCATCTAGGTTGGTTCCACAGTCTAGCTATTGTGAATTGTGCTGCTATGAACATTGTTGCAGCTGTGTCCCTATAGCACGCTCTTTTAAGTTCTTTAGAGAATAGTCCAAGAAGGGGAATAGCTGGGTCAAATGGTGGTTCCATTCTCAGCTTTCCAATGAATCTCCATACTGCTTTCCAAATTGGCCGCACCAATTTGCAGTCCCACCAGCAGTGTACAAGTGTACCCTTTTCCCCACATCCTCACCAGCACTTGTTGTTGTTTGACTTCATAATGGCTGCCAATCTCACTGGAGTGAGATGGTATCTTAGGGTGGTTTTGATTTGCATTTCTCTGACTGCTAGAGATGGTGAGCATTTTTTCATGTACTTGTTGATTGATTGTATGTCCTCCTCTGAGAAGTGTCTGTTCAGGTCCTTGGCCCATTTGTTGATTGGGTTATTTGTTATCTTATTGTTTAATTTTTTGAGTTCTTTATATACTCTGGATATTAGGGCTCTATCTGAAGTGTGAGGAGTAAAAATTTGTTCCCATGATGTAGGCTCCCTATTTACCTCTCTTATTGTTTCTCTTGCTGAGAAAAAAACTGTTTAGTTTGAGTAAGTCCCATTTGTTGATTCTTGTTATTAACTCTTGTGCTATGGGTGTCCTATTAAGAAATTTGGAGCCCGACCCCACAGTCTGTAGGTCGGAGCCAACTTTTTCTTCTATCAGATGCAGAGTCTCTGATTTGATATCAAGCTCCTTGATCCATTTTGAGTTAACTTTTGTGCACGGCGAGAGAAAGGGATTCAGTTTCATTTTGTTGCATTTGGATTTCCAGTTTTCCCAGCACCATTTGTTGAAGATGCTATCCTTCCTCCATTGCATGCTTTTAGCCCCTTTATCAAATATAAGATAGCTGTAGCTTTGTGGATTAGTCTCTGTGTCCTCTATTCTGTACCATTGGTCCACCTGCCTGTTTTGGTACCAGTACCATGCTGTTTTTGTTACTATTGCTCTGTAGTATAGTTTGAAGTCTGGTATCGCTATACCACCTGATTCACACTTCCTGCTTAGAGTTGAAGCTGGGTGCTTTTAAAGAAAAGGTTTTGTTTTGGTGTTTTTATTTTGCTTAGCTCACAGTTTGGGAGGCTGAAAGTTCAAGATCAGGCAGCCCCATAGATTCAGCCTCTGATAAGAGCTCCTTTAACTGTCATATGGTGGCAGATGGCATCATGGAGAGTGTATGTACAGAGAGAAAGAGAGTGAGGAGGATCACATGGTAAAATAGGAAGCCAGAGAGCAAGAGGGACAGCCCATTCTCATGGGAATTAATTCACTCTGTGAGAACTCAGCCTTTCCAAGGTCAGCACCATCAATGACCTGATTACCTCCTGCTAGGTCCCACCTCTTAAAAGTTCTACTACCTCTTTACATTGTCACACTGCAGACCAGGCCTCCAACATACGAACCCTTGGGGGACACACTCAAACCTAATCTCCTCTTCTTATAAGGACATCATTCCTATTGGATTAACCTTAAGGAGGTTATTAAGGAGGTTATTATACCTTAATAACCTCCTTAGGCAGCCCATCTCTAGATATTGTCACATTGGAATCAGGGCTTGTGGATTTTGGGGGGATACGAGTCAGCCACAACACCTTAGAGTACAGTTTCCATGCATAGCCTCTTGTGATGATGGGTTCCAGCCCTGGCTATGTCTGGTCATTTTCTTTCCTTAGCTACTTTTCAGAATTCTTAAGCTTAAATATAAAGATGTGGTTATAGAGTAAGAATTTTTTACTTTTCTCTCTAGATAAAGATCACAGTCCGATGGTGTGCTGTCTTTCAACATGGTCATCCTAATCAAAAGATCTTGGAAACATCCTCTTGGGAGAAGTCTCAGGCAGAGTTCTTCGGCCACAGCAGGTGCAGCCTCATCCCTTTGTTTTTCCAGAATCCTCTCTGCCTTCCTCTCAGCACTCATTTCTCTAGGTTCTAGAACTGTCCTCTCCCCTACCTAAATCCAGCCTAGAGTTCTCACTGTCCAGTAACCAGGGCTGAGAACTCTAGAGAGGGAGCCAGGGACTGATAGAACCTCCAGGGGAGAGGGGTGCCAGCAGGGCCAGGCCAGATCACAAGCAAAGAAAGGGAAGTTGTAAAGACAATTTCCAAGAGAGCAGGTGCCTGAGAAGTCCACAAACTCTATGGATTATCAGCGCTTAGGAGAATAGTGGACGTGAAAATTCCTGGAGACAAATTATAAGAGTGTTTGACTGTGAGGGAAGATGGGGGAAAGAGAGAGAATATGGCCTTCCTGATCCCATCCTGTAATTCTTCCAGAGGCATGCCGTTTCCCTTCCCACTGATGACTGCAGTCAACATATTCTCTGAACTCCAGACTTGTGTCCTCAACTGTTCACCAGACATTTCCACCTATGTGTCCTGCACACTCTTCAAGTAAGTTCATCATTATAATTTGGGGGACTCAACCTTCTTTTTATTACCCACTCACATACCAGAGCAGTATACAAAATATGCTGCCCAAGGCCACCCACCCAGTAGAGCGATTTTCTCAGAGTTGTCCTCAGACTGGTAGGATCCATCCCTTCTGCAATAGTGTCAGAAATGCTGAGGGTCCTGACCAGAATCAGATAACTCTGGTGGTTCTGCAATGACCTGAGCTCAGACCAGTTCTGGCATGCTGGCCTTTGAGAACTACCAGCTAAGAATGGGAAGACCCAGGACAGGACTCAGCCCAGACAGAGACGGGCCTGCCGGGTCCCACATCTTTTGTACTATTAGGAGCAGATCTTTGTTTCATGTTTATCCTTCCTCTTTGAGCTCTGGGGAATAAGGATTCCATCCCACTCACTTTTCACATCAAAACCTGCACAGTGTCTGTCGTGAGTAGAGGCTCAAATGCTTTTTGTTATAATGAACCGCCATCATGAAATTGTTCAAATGATTAACAGTGTCAGAGATGTCCTGATGCACAAGAAAAAATGGGACCATTTCTGGCAAGTCCTTAACTTGGTTGGGCTCTGCAGCTGCTGGTAAGGAGAAGCTATCAGTTGACACATTTATATGTACCTTTGTAGGACAGCATCTCCTTATAGCCTTGCTATCTCCTGAATATTCCAAGTGTATTTCTTTTTTTTTTTTTTTCTTTTTTTGGTGGTACTGGGGATTGAACCCAGGGCCTTATGCACACAAGGCAAGTGCTCTACCAACTGAGTTATATTCCCAGCCCCAAGTATACTATTTCTTAGTACAGATTTTATTAAGATTATTTTTGAAATTTACTTAAACCACATTTTTTTACTCCTATAAAAATATTAGGTGTGCTCTGCAATTTGTCCTGGCCCCTACATAAAATGGTCTTGTGTGGCAGCAGCTATGAATTTGCAGGTATCCATCCCTTATTCTCCACCTTGGTGTAAGGTCCCTGAAAGTCTTCACCACACTGAGCTCTCAAGAAATAGCACAAGGCATGGTTGAACCCAGAAAATGGCTTAGAGGAAATAAGTTTTGGCTTTGCTGAAACAAGATATACATGGAATTTCTCAACATTTTTTTTTTTACTTCGAAGTCATAATAATTCATCCAATGAATAAACTTACTGCCTACCAATTGCACTATGATTTACAATGTAAGACTACACCTCTCTTCCTCTTTAGTTGACTGGACTATTGATAATTACCTGGCCCAAAGTAGCCAGTTCAGAGGCTAGTGAGAGACCAATGAAGTGGTCTAGATTGAAACAGTGCCCCAGTGTCTTCGATTCTTGCTTTAGAGATTCTATTTGGGAAGTATGGAGAGACTGACTTAGTTTGCAGTGAAGGTGTCAGGGAAACTAATGTCATGAGATCATATCCTCTTGGAGGATGAACAAGCATTCCCTGGCCTACATTCTCAGGTGACTAGAGACCGCTTTCTATCCTCCCAGAGGAGAAAGGAAGTAGCAACCCCCTGGAGTACAGTACTGTCCTTCTCCTGTGTTGAAATAGGCAGGCTTGCACATCACCTGGTAGGCTTGCAAGTACCTCACTGCCAAGTCTCTAAGCCTGAGAGGCTGAACACGATGTCACTAGACAGGGGAAGCAACTGGTACCTTCTGTGCTCAGGAGCTTCAAGGAGCTAGTGGCCCTCTGCTCTGCTCCCTCTAGAATAGGAAGGCTCTGCCCTGGCCCCCAGCAAAGCATCCTGTCTTCCCCGTGGTTATTGCCACCTCACCTACCTGCCCTAGTTTACAGCAGTTTCAAACTAAAGTACTTCTCAGTTAAAAACAAAGCTTGCAACACTAAGGAGTCAGGATATTCTTATTATCAATTTGGGGAAAGAAGAATGTTGTTGACTGAATTCTTCTCATTTTATTCACGTTTTGATACCTGAAAGGCATAACCCTGGTAGGGATTTCTGCTGCTTTAGAAAACTAGAGGAAAATACAAACTTTCACATGGCAATTAATGGATTGATATAAAATCTGTTAGCTTTGAATGGCTTTGGGAAAATCACTTAGCTTCTCTATCTCATTTTTTATTTCCTCTATAAATTGGCATCTTGATGATTTTGTATTGCTATAACAAAATACCTGAGTCTGGGTATTTCTAAAGAATAGAAGTTTATAATTTAAAATAGCATGTAATATTTGTAGCATATTATGAAATATGCTATTTCCTAATTTATAATTTAAATGCTATTTATAAATTTATTATAAAATAGAATACTATGAAAGCTGAAAATAAAGTGAAAAAGTATTACATGTACAATAATGATAAATATGAAATGTCCAATTTGTATTTTCTTAGTTATTGCAAAACACTTTGTCTTGATACTGCGTTAGTATTAAAAATATACCTTCTTATAAATTCTATTGAGTCTTACCACATTGATTCTCAATCTCTGTGGTATATATTGGTCACATTTTAATTGGAAGAATTTAAAATGAAAATTCAGATTCATTATTTATAGGAACGTCCTGCCCTGGCCCCCCACCATGTTTGGGGTATGTTTGGGGTAGGACCTGAGACCTAAAATTTTCAAATGTTTCATGGACTGTACATTGAGCATCAATGGACAGAAACTGCTTTCTCCAATGGCTGTAGTTCAAAAGTGTCAACCAAAAGTCCATTTGTTGGCCATTTATTCCTCAGATTTATAGGTTAATGGTATTTAGAGGCGAGGTCTTTAGGAGTTAATTAGAGTTAGAGGAGGTCATGAGAATGGGTCCCCATGATGGCATTAGTGGCTTTATAAGACAAAGAAGAGAGACTTAAGCTGGCATGCTTCCTCTGTCTCACGATGTGATACCTTGTGCCGTGTTACCATGCAGCAGCAAGACCCTTACTAGATGCTGGCACCAAGCTCTTGGACTTCCCAGCCTCTAGAACTATGAGCTAAATAAGCTTCTATTCTTTATAAACAAATAGACTCAGGCATTTTATTATAGCAGTAGAAAACCATCAAGACACCAAGTTATAGAGGAAAAAAAAATGAGGTTCCAAGAAGCTAAGGGGTTTTCCTACAGTCTTTCAAAGCTCACAGGAAACCATGATTTCAAATGAGTTCCTTCCACTCTGAGCTCAGGATCTTTGTGCAGCATAAAAATACCTTATATAATGTAATACTACCTCACTTCTCATAGATGATAAAAACTTACAGTCATAGATTTCCCATTGTCGTACTCCTACTCCTGCATGTTTTAAACCCTGTACAGAATTCTTACTTGTTTTGTTTTAAGCAATTATCTCTTAATGAATATTTGGAGATTAGACAAAATATCTTTTCTACTTATGATGCTATTTTCCATGACTGATGCCCTTCATTCCTTTGTGTGAATGCAGATTTAATTTTACTATTTTTCTGCTGATGACAATTGCTTTGAAAGTTCTTTAAAATCAGAAAAAGTACTTATTTGCTTTCGTTTCTGAAAACTATTTTCATTAGACATGGAATTCTATGGAGCGTTTTTTTGTTGTTGTTTTTTTTTTTTTTAACGCTAAGGATATATTTCAGTGTTCCTGGCTTGCATATATCCAGTAAGTCTGTTGTTGTTTCATGTTTCTTGTCCCTGTTTTTAGTTGTTTCAGTGGGAGGGTAAATCTGGTGTTCTTGATTTAAGTATCCCTCTTACTACTTCTTGGCCAAAGGTTGACATTCTTTTCTCGATTCTAAGGACCTGTGGCCTCTGTTTGTGTCTTCTCTTAGGTTCCCAGGAACTACTGATCACTTGTAGATAGGAAAGGTACCATGAGCTCACCTGTCTGTGTATCTTTGCTGCTGTGTTTGTGCTGCATGCAAAGCTTCTTCCTGACACTTTCAGCCTTCTCTGGCGTACTTCCCCATTGGTACATTCACTCAATCACACCAGTAGCTTCAATGGTGGAGTTTCATATGTGGTAAAGGACTTAGTCTCTATTATATCCTGCTCCCAGTCACAATGCTCACATCCGGAGAGAAAGCTTAAGATCCCTAATTCTCCTCATCCATATGAGATAGATAATTCATATCGTCATTATGTGAAGCTTAGGGAAGGCAATGGGCACCAAAGCATTTAAAAATCAAAACAATTCATTAAAACATGAGGTATTATCTGGCACTTGCATTTTGTATGATTGTGTCTAACAACCTCAGGTTGTACTTTAGAATATACAGATAAAATTCTCAGTTAGAATTAAGAGGAGCTAGAGATGTCTAGAATTTTTGCCCATGAACCACCACCACCTCAGCCAAGGTTTGGCAAATCCTATCCCTTAGGCAATCATGCCTCTCAACACCCCTTAAACATCTCATTCACCACCTGATGCAATAAACCATTCCCAAATGCTCTTCATCTCAGACTTTGGTTAGGGAAGTAAGATGACCCTAAGTATAAATCTGGACAAACTCTGATGCCTTTGGGAGAATATAGTCCCTGAGTGAGTACTTTTGATCTGCACAATGTTGAAAATGCCCATTCAGGCAGAGCTGGGTTCTCTATAAACAGTCAGTTCATTGGCTCCCTTGTCCTGTATCCATTGATCTGCCTGATTTCTGAAGACATCTGGCCCCAGCCACTTAAGCAGAGACTTCTTTGCTGAGAGAATGGGAATCTTTTTGCTTTATATTTAGGAAAGGAAAGACTTCTGTTGGCATTTTTCTTCAAGGGTGGTGGTTTTCATGTTGTCTCTTAACACTTTGCAGTTTGATGACTTCTCTTATGCAGTAGGTATAGTAATAAAGCACTTTCTCTGGAGTTTCTCATCTTTCTAAGCCTACTCGTTCTTTACTCTCCCATCTGCTATGCTAGATTAACTCCCAGCCCCTGTGCTCCTACTGCTCCTTAAAGCTTCTCTTCTTGTTTCTGTTTCATGAATATTTTTCTTACTTGATCTTTCATGAGCAGATAGCAATGAATACTTCTGATGTGTTTGGGTTTATCCTCATAATAGCTTCTGTGGTAGTAGCCATTATGGATTGTATGGGGAGTCCCCCCAAAGCTCCTGTATTATTAATATGGAGGCAAAATCATTATATTATGAGAGCTGTGACCTAATCAGTCCATACTAGTTGGAATGGACTGACTGGGTAGTAACTATGGGCAGGTGGGTCATGGATAGAGGAGGTGAATCAAGGTGGGCATGACCTGAAAGACTGCAACTGCCCCTTGGCTCCTTCTCTCTCCTCTCTCTCTCTCTCTGCTTCCTGGCTGAGGAGAGAGCTTTCTGCTGTCACACCCATCTGCCATGATGTGTAGCTTCACCTTAGGTCCAGAGCAATGGAGTTTGCCATACATGGACTGAAACCTCTAAAACCATGAACCCCACATAAACTTTTCCTCCTCTAAGTTGTTCTTGTTGGATATTTTAGTCATGGCACTACAAAGCTGGCAAACTCAGTTGTTTTATGAATTTTGATGTTATTTGGTACATACATATTTATCACAGATCTTATTGTATACTGCTCACTTAAGATTGAAAAGTGCCCTTCTTTGTCACATTTTTTTCTTTGCAATATTTCTGTGTTTCTGAAAAACTCTCATCATAGAAAATAATTATCAACCAGATTCCATAATTTTTGAAATTAGTTGAAAGGGATTTAGATATTAATTGTTCTATTCTTTTGACTTTTCTGAAGACCTAAAAATTTTAAAATTGAAAAAGATTTGGGAGGATAGTACTGTGAAAGTCACTCAGAGTTCATGTTCAACATATGTTAATCCTTCTGGTTTGGGAGATGTGGTAGAAGTAAACAGTTTCAGTTACAAAAGGCTTGAATTCAAATTCTACCTCTTACCACCTTAGGCAAATCACTAACCTCTTAAACTAGTTCTTTACCTGTAAAATGATAGATGTGTTGGGGAATTGTTATGAAGATAAGATGTATTGATGTACATGAAGTGACTTATAGTATGTTTTAATTTAAAAATTCACTATTTTTGCCAAATACCAGTGCATGTATTTAGCAAACATAACATGGCACTTACTATGTGCCAGATACTATTCTAAACACTTTTCAAATATTAGTTCAAGTAATTCTCATAACAATCACTGCATAGTGCTCTGGTGATCTCCATTTTACTCATGATGAAATACACACAAGAGATAATTACTTTACCCAAAGTAACACAGCTGATAATTATGAGAGACTGGCTCCAAATCCAAGCAGTTTGGCTCAAGAATCCTTGCTTTGATCTGCTATATCTCAACATAAATATTAGAGAAGAAACATCCTGTTATTGGATAGGGAAGTCTGCTATGTTGTATTATTGATTCACTGGGATCATTTTAATATAATTTAAATGTATATTTTAGATTTTTCGGAATATTGCATCAATAACCCAGCTTCTCTGCCAATTTTGGCAAGTAAATTTAAAAAATTAAATAAATACACCTAGTTCCAAACAAAGCAAACCCAATACAACAGCATGAAACAAACAACATGAAAAAAAAGCCTTCCTGATGGATGAAAATCTAGATGTAGGTCAGTTAAAATTCTCTTCCCCAAATTGACGAAGGACAGTTTCCAGTGGGCAGGTGAAAGCCACTGACTACTGATGCATACCTTTACAGATTCATCTGTCAACCTGGTGGAGTAGGTCTCTGCAAGGCAGGAGAAGATGAAGAGGATGGGCAATGGTTTATTCAGCTTCTTCATTGCTGTGACCAAAAGACCCAACAAGAACAATTTTAGAAGATGAAAAGTTTATCTGGGGCTTCACAGTTTCAGAGGTCTCGTCCATAGGCAGCTGGCTCTGTTCCTCAAGGCTCAAGGTAACATTAAGGTAGAAGAGTGTGATGGATGGTAGTGGCTCAAGAGGTCACACTGAGAAGCAGAAAGAGTCTAAGCTTGGGTCATAAAATACATACCCCAAAGGCATGTTCCCAAGGACCCACCTCCTCTAGCCACACCCTCCTTGTCTGTTGTTATCACCAAGTTAACCCCTATCAGGGGATTAATTCACTAATTATGTTAAACCTTTATAACCCAACATTTCACCTCTAAACCCTCTCGCATTGTTTCACATGTGAGTTTTTGGGAAACACCACATATCTAAACCATAACAGGCAATCAGGAGACTCAAGCTAAAGGATCTTCTCTGTGAATTAGCTCCTCTGGGGCCCAGGTAAATCCAGTAGTCATGTGGGCAAAAGGTACCACCACCATGTCTGTGTTCCCTAAAGGAGAAGTTAAGAGATATATACAATTAGAAGTATTGATATCTGCATGCTGATGAATTATGATACATATTGCTATGGTTTGAATGTGTCCCCCAGATTTCAAGTGTTGAAAACTTAATCGCAAATTCATATGTTATTAGAATTCAAGCCTTTGCAAGGTAATTAGGTTTAGATGAAGTCACAATGGTGGGGCCTCCATCATGGTACTAGTGACCTTATAAGAAGAAGAAAGGAAAACTGAGCTCTCATGCTACTCTTCCTTGCTGTATGATGCCTGCTGCCATGTTATGATACAGTAAGAAGGGTAGTGATTAGATACTGGCACCATGCTCTTGGACTCCCCAGCCTCCGGAACCATCAGATAAATAAACCTCTATTCTTTATAAATTACCTAGTCTCAGATATTTTGTTATAGTATAGAAAACAGACTTAGACACATTTCTACCCAAAGACTATGAAGGAGGAAGGATTGCCTTGAATATCATAATAGGGAACGTTCTTTTCAGGCTGTAGAAGACAAGTCATCTGGGGATCCTTATCATACCATGTTCAGCTAGAGGAGAAAAACTGGCTGCTTAGGGTACACTTAGTTTTAAAGGGTGACAAACTGTTTGACCAACAAACACCAAAAAGGGCTTTTGAGCCTATGGTAAGTTAGTATGAGATCATGCAACTGTTAAAATATAATAGGACAGCTAAGATAGTGCCTTCACTGACAGGCACACAAATGACCAGTGTCACATACTGCCTTTATTTGCAGACAGGCTTGTCCTTCAGCCTGTTCAGGCTGTTGTCTGATGTTAGCACTGGGATCAGCTTTAGAAAAAGCTGAACAGGGGAGAAGATTCATTGGTTATAACTATTGAAAGGAAGACAAAAAGATTCAGAGTCTGTAATTTTCCCACCCACATTAAGTTATTTGGATAAAACTCTGCTGTCATAACCAGACTGAATTCACTAAAAATAAAGTATGTCTGAGACTACTTCCTTAGGTTTGGCCACTGGCTCCCTATGAGAAAGAGCAGAGAAGTTTGGGGGGTCTTTACTAAATACAGCCCCATTTCAGAAAGTGTTAGCTTTTGTTGAAATTTATTGCAGGAGATTTATCGACTCGTGAGATAAATATTGACCAAGTCAAAGTCAAGGTTATTACTTATCTTCAGGAATAATAAATCTTGGTGTTCTTAGTGACACAAAGTCAATATGTACTTTGCTGCATAAATTCCAAATGAAGAGTTTCATTGAAACATCTGTAAATCTCTCCATCATGACCACTAGCATAGCTTTTTAAAATTTACTATTTAAGAAAGAAGAATACCCAGGCCTGGTGGAAACATCTGCTGTTCACCTCTATGAATCGAACTAGGTAGTCCCATTTCCACTGTGAAGAATCTCTGATTCATTCACCAGAAATATAGTCCACTGATTGTGAGTTGATCCCTATTGTCATTGATACTGAGTCAGAAGAATCAAAATTCTTCTCATTCTAAGAAAGAGGCAAAATAAACTCATGGATTACTGACATACTGGCTGGTACATTTCAGGATTAAAAAGCATTTACTTTTTATCTACGTAAAGGATGGATTCTAGCAAAATTGAAGGGAAAAAAAAGGAAAAGGAAATGAAAAGAAAACAAAATCTTGGCATGTAGCAAGGTTTCTGCTTCTAGTATTTGTCCACCTTTTCAGTTTGAACCCCTCTGCAAGCATTCATTAGTCGCTACAGTAACTAGGGTACAAACTTGATTTGGTAAAATTAGCTAGGGATGCAGAAAAATGGGAGACCACTGAATCTGAACTCAAGGAGTACTTCTCCAGGGAGCCTTGGGAGTGGGAAGGCTTCAAGGATCTGTTTTATCAGGGCTCACAATGGCAGTCTGCTGCCTAAAGATGAGTCCCACAATTTTTTTGTTTCCAGGAATGAAGGTGGATTGCATCTGTACAGCTGTGTTCCATTGCATCGTGCCTGGCCTCCACTATAGAATCTTAGACTTGGAATGGGAGTCCTGTTCCCTGGTGCTGCTCTGTCACCTCTCACCTGCAGTACTAAGCTGCTATCTAAGTGGCCTCTTATTGTTCATTCTCTATTTTTAATTTTTTTTATTTAATTAATTTATTTAATGCTGTGCTGGGGATTGAACTCAGGGCTTTGAGCCTACTAAGCAATTAATCTTATACTGAATTATACCCGAAACCCTTCTGGTTCATTCTCAACATGGCAGCCACAGCACCTAGCACAGTTTAAGCCTGATCACACCATTCTTCTGTTTAACCTCCTCTGATGACTTCCCATCTGCATTCGTTTCTTAGGGTCTACCACACAAAAAAATACAATCTGCCCTTCATATCCGCAGGTTCCACAGCCATAGATTCTACCCCGTGGATGAAAAAAAAAATATTTGGAAACAAATTTCAAGAAACTTTCAAAAACAAAACTTGAATTTTCCCTGTGCCAAGCACCATGATGAATCCACTAGAATAAAGGGATGTGTATACATACTTTGACGTAGCCTCCCACCATGAAAGAGAGAAAATGTTATACTGTTGAATCATACTATGTAGTTAGACCTACTGTGGTTGCATCTGTATGACTTTGTACAGACTTTTTTTTTTTTTTTTGGTCAGTATTTCCTAAGTAACATAGTATAAGAACTATTTACATTGTATTAAATATCATATGTAATCTAGAGATGATTTAAAGTACGGAGAAGGATGTGGGTAGGTTATATGAAAACACTGCTCCATTTTCTATAAGAAATTGAGCATCCTCAGATCTTGGAATCCACAAATTGAGCAGCTTAAAACAATAGAAATTTATTCTTTCTCAGCGTCAGACTGAAAGTCTAAAACCAAGGAATCAGCGAAGCTAGGTTCCACCCACAGGCTTTTGGGGAGAATCCTTCCCCGTGTCTTCCAGTGTCTGGTGGTTGCTGCCTGCCGTCTGGGGCATGTAAACACATCTCTCCAGTTCTGCTTCTTTTTCACATGGAGTCCTTCTCCACGTGTCTCTCATGTGTCCTCTCATAAGAACACCAGTCATTGGACTTAGGAGGACCTGTCCTATCTAGGATGACCTCATCTTAATTACTATGCAAAGACCCTATCTCCAAGTAAGGTCACATTCACAGGTGCCAGAGGATAGGATTGAGCCCTGTCTTTGGAGAGGGGGTCACAGTCCCACCCACCACATCATCTTCCTCAGAATGAAACTGAACCTGTGTGCCTTTGCCTCTGGGGTCCCTATCCACTGGCTTCTCCCTCCCTCCCAGTGTTGTCTCTGCTGCTGTCCCCATTGCACACCGTTCCAGCCATTCTTTCTGATTCCTGAGCAGACCAGACTCCTCTCTCTCCTCCAAGCCTTTTTCTTGCTTTTTTTCCCCCTTCTGCCTGGAATCTGTCCTCAAAAGAGCATCTCCTCTTCCTTCAGGGCGCAGAGAGCCTTCCTTGGACACGCGGGGAATACATCTCCACTTCCTCTTTGTCGTACCCCTCTGGATGCTTTACCTCCATCTCAGATAGCTTTTTTCAACTCATATTTATCATTTCTCTTCTTTACAAGAATCTGATTTTCTGAATAGCAGGCACCTTGCCTATCTTGGTCCTTCTTTATGAACCATTGCCAGGCAGAGCAGACCCCTACCTAATATTCTATTGAAGGAAAGAATGCTGCTTCTTCTATCACAGCCCTGAGGAAGGGACATTTTCAAACTTCATGGTAGCCTCTTTATCAGGAAACTTGACTCTTCCTCCTCCTCCTCCTCCTCATCATCATCATCCCTCCTCCTCCTCCTCCTTGTCCACCTCCTTTTCCTCCTCCTCTTTCTTCTTCTTTTTGTACTGGGAATTGAATCCAGGGGGCGCTTTACCACTGAGCTATATCCCCAGCCCTTTTATTTTTTCTTTTGAGACAGGGTCTTGCTAAATTGCTGAAGGTCTTGCTAAATTGCTGACATTGGCCTTAAACTCTTGATGCTCCTTCTTTGGCCTCCCAAGTGGTTGGATTACAGGAGTGCACCACCATGCCTGGCATTGACTAATTCTTGTTGACACTTTCTGTGACACACTTTTGCTTTGTGCCCACCATTTGGAATAAATTTAATCCTGCTGAAAAAGTTATGAATTGCAGGTTTTAAGGAAATTCAGGCAGTTCGTACACATCTGTATTTAGCATTAAATACTCTATTGTAGTGAAAATATGTTGAGACTTTTTATTTGCCTTTCGCTTATTTAAAAGCTTTTTAGAGTTTATTTTGCTTTTTAGAGTTTGTTACACTTCTAAGAGCATAGTGCCTTTCTAAAGTTTTTATTTTTCTACTCAAATCACAAAACAACCCGGGATCTAGAAAAACTCACATTCAAAGAAAAGACTCTCCTGAGCCTCATTGCTTAGGACACCTCATATTTACTCAATGGAGCTGACTTTGTAGAGCTACCTGGGTTTGAGTATGTGCCTATCACATGCTGGTTCCATCACTTTAGGCTAATGGAGATGAATCTTTGTCCTCAGTACAGACAGTAGTACTACAAAGGCCCAGTTTTGTCACCCCGTGTCTCCCTCTTCTACCCAATAATGGAGCTCCTATACTCCAGGGGTAACCTGGCCAACATTGGGTTCTTACAAGTGTGCTTTTCTTTTTCTTTTTATTTGTTCAAATTAGTTATACATGACAGTAGAATGCATTTTGACACATTATACATAATGGAGGATAACTTCCCATTCTTCTGGTTGTACATGGTGTAGAGTTATGCAGGTCATGTAATCATATATGCACATAGGGTAATAATGTCTGATGCATTCTACTATCTTTCCTAGCCCCTCCCCTCCCTTCACTCCTTTCCATCTAATCCAACATGTATCTATTCTTCCCTAATCATCGCCCACCCCGCCACCTTATTGTGAATTAGCATCCACATATCAGAAAAAACATTCAACCTTTGGTTCTTTGAGATTGGCTTATTTTGCTTGGTATGATATTCTCCAGCTCCATCCATTTACCGGCAAATGCCATAATTTCATTCTTCTTTATGGCCAAGTAATGTTCCATTATGTATAGACACCACATTTTCTTTATCCATTCATCTGTTGAATGGCACCTAGGTTGATTCCACAATTTAGCTATTGTGACTTGAGCTGCTATAAACATTGATGTGGCTAAATCACTGTAGTATGCTGATTTTTACGTCCTTTGGGTATAAAATGAGGAGTGGAATAATTGGGTCAAATGGTGGTTCCATTCCAAGTTTTCTGAGTAATCTTCATACTGCTTTCCATAGTGGTTGCACCAGTTTGCAATCCCACCAAAATGTTTGAATGTACCTTTTCCCCCACATCATCACCAACATTTATTGTAGTCTTGATAATTGTCATTCTTACTGGAGTCAGATGGAATCTCAGTGTAGTTTTTATTTTCATTTCTTTGATTGCTAGAAATGTTGAACATTTTTCATATATTTGTTGATCAATTGTGCTTCTTCTTCTGTGAAGTGTTTGTTCAGTTCCTTAGCCCATTTATTGATTGGGTTACTTGGTTTTTGTTTGTTTTTTTTTTGGGGGGGGGAGGTGTTAATTTTTTTGAGTTCTTTATATATCCTGGAGGTTAATACTCTTTCTGAGGTGACAAGTGTGCTTTTCAATCTCTTTGGTCACTATGAGTTTTCTCCTATGAGACCATTATTGAAACTCAATAGCCATTGTGGTGGGGTTGGAATGTAGGGCCATTAGGAGATTGGTAGGCCATGAAGGGGGATTAATGCCTTTCTCGCAGGTGAAAGTTTATTCTTGCAAGAATGGATTATTGTAAAGCAAGGGCACCCCTCTTGTTTTTAGTATTCTTCATTTACCTTCTTGCCATTCCAACTTCACCTGGCATGAAGAGGCACACATCCCTCAGTAGATATGGTTGCCTGATCTTGGAGTTCACAGCCTCCAGAACTGTGATATTAAATAAACTCTTTTCTTCGATAAGTAACCCAGTCTCAGGTATTCTGTTATAGCAATAGAAAATGGAATAAGACAAGGGGTCAGCAAATCTTTTACATATGTTAGTAAATAGCCCTTCCAATTCATATAGATTCAGCTACCAATAGGAAAGCAGTCATACCTGAAAATGGGCAAAGCCGTGTTTCAATAAAACTTTCTTTATCGGCCCCAAAACTTGAATTAGGCATAATTTTCATGTGTCCTACAATATTCTTCATTTGATTTCTTCAACATATATTTAAACATATAACAGCCACTTTAGCTCCCAGGCCATATGAAAACAGGTGATAGTTAGGTTTCGCTTATGACCCTGCTCTACGGGGGGAAAGGGCACAACTGCTCATGGTGACTCAGAGAATTAGTGAGTACATGTTTTAACTCATAGCCCAAGGCATGAACAATAATGGTATTCATTGATCCCTATCACAGAAGAAAACTGGTGCTTTCTGTGACATAAAGCAGGAGACTGAGGCCCAGCATAATTTTCATATGTATAAGTTTAGACCTGCGGCTGTAACACCTATTCCTCACCTAAAGCTCAGAGCAGTTTTCTGTCAACTGCCGATTGACACTGATGAGCTTGATATCCTTTTTATACTTTCCCTCACTTAATTTTACTTCATGTGCTTTGATCTCCCTTTTCTAGCTCTCTCTTTTCCAGGATGTCAGTGTTTCTCTTAGAAATTATTAATATTACAGGGAGCTGGTTAACCAGGAACTGGGATAGTTTGGAGTTAGAAAGTCCCACTCTCAGGAAGGCTCTGAGGAAGGGAACTACATAGAAGACAAGCACTATGAGATGTGGAGACACGAACAGGTTGTTTTCCTATGTATGCACAGGAGAGAAAATAATACAGGGATTACTGCTTCCTTAAAAGTATGTTTTACAGAGTTAAAGACTACAGATTTTAGGCGTCAGAAGCAAACTACACAAGTTCTAATCTCATCTCAACTTTTGCCAGAAGGATATGACTATGGGGGGCAGGGCACATAAACTCAAACCTGATAGCTTCCCTTATACAATTAAGATGATAATCATAACAGTATGATTAAGATTTCCAAAGCTATTATGTGCATATCTCTTGGTTCTGTACATAGTATGGAACATTTAACAATATTAGCCAATTTCTTAAATTAACTTTTTATTTTGGAATAATTTTATTTATAGAAAAATTGTAAAGGTAATACAGGGAGTTGCCATAAACCCTTCAGCCAGTTTCCTTTCATTGATAACATCTTACATAACCCTACGACATTTGTCACAACTAGGAAATTAACATTGTTATATACTATTAATTAAAATCCAGACTTTATTTGTGTTTCTCCAATTTTCTACTCATCCTTTTTTTTTTCTTTTCCAGGATTTTATCCAGGATCACTGAATACATTTTGTCTTCATATCTCCTTATTTTTTTCAATCTATGGCAGTTTCTTGGGCTTGTTTTAATTTCACCATCACCTTCATGAAGCATACTGGCCAGATATTTTATATGTTTTCCGTCAATATGAGTTGGCCCATGCTTTTTGTTTTATTTTTTTCCCCCTCTGTACTGGGATTCACCTCAGGGGAACTCTACTATTGATCTACATCCACAGTCCTTTTTTATTTTATTTTGACATAGGGCCTGGCTGCATTGTCCAGGATGGCCTTGGACTTGTGATCCTCCTGTCTCAGCCTCCTGAATCACTGGGATGACAGGTCTGTGTCACCACACCCAGTTAGCTAATGCTTTTTCACGATTATGTTGGGGTTACGTTTGGGGAAATGAATACCACAGAGGTGAAATGCCCTCCTCATCGCATAATGTTAGAAGTCCATGATCTCAGCGTGACTCATTGCTAGTGAAGTTAACCTTGATCCCTTGGTTATGGTGGTGTCGGCCAGATTTCTCCACTGTCAAGTTGCTTGTTTTTTCTTTACCAATTCTATAGAAAGTGAGTCCTTGGGTCTCTCCCACATTCCAGAGGAGAAGAAATAATCTTCATCACCTGGAGGGGAGAGAACTTTGAAGATATTCCCCTATATTATTTATAGTAAGGAAGATTTGTCCCTTCTTATTATTTATTTATTCAATTTTTTTGTTTGTATCCATCTAGATTTATGAACCGTTACAGCTTTGGCCACTGGCTGCTCTTTCAGGATGGCTCCTATATTCTCTTATATTCGTTTTTTTCCCCCTGAACCTTGCCTAGTGCATGCTAGGCAAGCACTGTACCACTGAGCTACATCCTTAGCCCTTCCTATTTCTCCTAAATTACTCATTTTTTGAAATATTTTTAAAGGAGCCCTTACTTTTAGTGTCATGAATTACTCCAGGCTGATCTGGAATATAATTATTAATACAATCTTAGAACTGTAGGAGGATACATGATTTAGGGGCCTTTTATCATTTGCTCTGGCTGGAGTCCACTTTCCCTTAGATGCCCATCAGCACACAGCTTCCTGCAGGCTACGAGAGAAGGGATTAATTAACACACAGAACTTCTGTCCCAGCTGGACCCGAAGGTCCTCACTTGAAGGGGCTGTATCAAAGCTGAAAAGAAGTTTCTCTTTTCCTGTGTTGATAACCAGAGGCTGCTGGTTACCATATTCCCACCTCTTGGGAGAACTCATCTACAGAAGAAGTCAATACAATGGGAGGCAAAGCTGACCCAGAGAGACAGAGATCTGCCTGTAAGATTTGACTTTCTGTCCAGTTCTACTTGATGATCTTCTGAAGTCTCTAGTAAAGCCTAGAGGTTCCCTTTGCTTTTTAAGCTCACCAAGTGTATGACTTGTTTGAGGTACCCAGGATAAGAAAACCACCCCTCTGCGAACTTCTCCCTTTGCAGAATTAACCCTCCAGTGGACACCACATCACAGTGCCCACACTTGCTCACACATGGACACAATCATTTTGCTTATAGACTGAATAAAGCTTTAAATGGACTTCAGGAAGCTGCATTTTGAAACCTAGTAATCACCCCTGTCTTTCACTTTATGTACATATACATTTCTGATATCAGATTTGTTTCAAATAATGCAATATTTCAGTATATCCTTTTAATAATTTTAATAATAACACTACCTAATGCTCATAAAGACATGATGGAACCCATCCATTCACATATTATAGGAAACAGAGTTAAAGGTTATACAAATCAATCTCCATAAGATTATGGATATTTTGATCCAGTAATCTCACTTGGGGATATAATCTGAAGAACTAATCCAAAACAGATAGAATCATAAGTAAAAAAAAATTATCATTATGATCTGATAATTTAATAAAGCTGGAGAGAGTTGAAATGTTCCACAATAGGGACTTGTTGGAAAAAATAATGAAATCTTAACTCTGAAATGTTATGTGATTTTTAGATATTGCGAATATGAGGATACTCAAGCAAGATACAAAGATGTTCATTATGGAGACTGCATGAGTTGGCATAGATTGTCTTACCTCAGAAAAAGAGGAAGAAACTCCAGGAGTTCGAGGACACAGGAAAGTTCACGTGGGTACAAAGTGAGAAGTCTGCCGCCTGCAAGCCTGGAAGAGAGTCCTCACCGGACACCAGTCACGCTGGCTCCTTGATCTTGGACTTCCTGCCTCCAAACTGTGACAATATCCATTTCTGTTGTTTTAGGCACACAGCCTGTGGGATTCTGTTATGGAATCCTGAGCTCATAAATACAGGAGCAGAGAGATATGAGCCTAGGATATCCTTGAAAATGAGAAACACTGAAAATAATTGATGAACAACAGTCATGTCTACTAAAGAGGGTGAAATAAAACAACATAAACAGAATGGCAGAATACATGTTTGATATAATAAGTATCAGATACTTTCAATTCTCTTTTCCTAGCCTTTATGCTATTCTTTTATTTGGGGGGGGTATATTTTTTATTTGTTTCTTTTTAGATATACATGACAGTAGAATGTATTTTGACATAGCATAAAAACATGGAGTGTAACTTCCCATTCTTGTGCTTGTACAAGATGAGGAGTTCACTGGTCATATATTCACATATGAACATAGGAAATTTATGTCCAATTCATTCTACTGTCTTTCCTATTCCCATCCCCCCTCCATTCCCCCTCTTTCTCCCCTGACCAATGTGTTGAACCTCCACTCCTCCAGACCCCTACCTATTGTGAGTCAGCATCCGCATATCAAAGAGAACTTTGGGCTTTTGGTTTTCTGGGATTGGCTTATTTCACTTAGCATGATAGTCTCCAGGTCTATCCATTTACCAGCAAATGTCATAATTTCATTTCTCTTTATGGCTGAGTAATATTCCACTGTGTGTGTGTGTGTGTGTATATATATATACACACACATACCACATTTTTTAATCCATTAATCAATGTTCATAGCAGCTTGATTCACAATAGCTAACCTATGGAACCAACCTAGGAGCCCTTCAACAGATGAATGGATAAAGAAAATATGGTACATATTCTATTCTTTTTTAAAAGACTATTTTATTGATATAGCTTACAGAGGGCACCTACCATTCAGTTGATGTTTTAGTATTCTCACAAAGTTGTACAACTCTTACCATTGCTCCACACAATGTCTTCACTCCAAAAGGAGACCCTGTGCCTATTAGCACTCTCCCCCCATTTTCCCCTCCTCCCAGTTCATGGAAACTCCTTGTCTATTTTTGATCTTCAGGGCTTTGCTCATTCTGGATATGTCATAAATGGAATGACGCACTCTCTCAGATCTGAAGTTATGGCATCTTCTGGCAGGAGGTTCCTCCCTCTGTGCTGTCCCCTGGAATCTGTATCAACACTAGGGAAGTTTTAGGACTTGCCTAGTTTATTTTGTGACTCTTGGTAACCATGACTTCCATTAAATGATATCTTGTATCTAGGAAACTGATGTTGCTTAATTGTTTTTGTTGTTTTTTTCAGTCTAGGGGATAAATATGACACCTGTCACTCTATGTTGACCCTAAGTGGGATCCCCTCACTACCTGTACACAATTTTATATTTTGTGTTTCACATGAGATTTCATTTGAATAGTGTCTTATGGGGACTGGGGTTGTGGCTCATTGGTAGAGCACTTGCCTCGCACGCATGAGCCCCTGTGTTTGATCCTCAGCACAACATATGAATAAACAAATAAAATAAAGCTATTGTGTCCATCTACAACTAAAAAATATTTAAAAAATAATAGCATGTAATGTGGACAGAAAACAGTTCATACACTTCCGACTAAGAGCAGTGATCAAAGGAAAAGAAGGAGAAAGAGAGCATAGACCTAGGATTTATGGTATACGGTCCATGCCAGAAAACTCAGGTGCAACTTATCAAAATGTCAATTTTTCCTCAGAACTTTCTCCTTGAGAAACATTAATCCTTCCAACTTTGTATTGTCATTTCAATATATTTTGCTATCTTGTACATTAAAAAAAATGTAATATGAGTATACATTTACTCATATTAAAATTATTTTTTAGCTTTGTCTTTCTCTTAGGTAACTGTAAACTCCATGAGGCCAAGAGAATATGCTATGACTTTATCTCAGACTTATCATAATTCCTGGCTCCTGAATGTTCTATATAATCATGTTATACCAAATCAATCATATAATCTCTTTTAATTCATAAATCAAATCCATCATGTAAGCAAGCTGATTTTCTCTTTTTTAGTAGGGAAGAAAAAGAAAGGTAAAGAAGTTCAAATATTCTGCCTAAGATAAATAGTCAAGAAACCGGAGAGCATGGACTAGGATCCGGCTCTGAATCTAAGTTCATTTGCATCTCTGGAATAGTACCCTGCAATAGAACCTTCTGTGGTAATGAAAATGTTCCAAATCCAGGGTGTTCAATATGGCAGCCACTAGCCACATGTGGCTAATGAGTGTGACCACTGTGACTGAGGACAGTAAAATTTAAACTCATTGAAATGTAAATAGCCACCTGTGTCCATTAGCTACCATGTTGTACAGTATAGCTCTAGACCATTACAGATGTACCTCTTTTCTCTTTCAAGAGACAAGAAGTTCTGATCTGAGAATTTTTAAATTGGTTTCTGAACAAAGAAGGAAATCTGCAAAATGTTTCAGCCATAATCTTGCCATAAAAGAAAGAATACTGTCTAAATTTTAAAAAAAGACTGCATCTAAGAGAAACGATAGATTAAAGGTTCAATGACAAAAATGACCAAATGAAAAAGTATTCTCTCAGAAGAAAAAGTTTCTTAAAAAAAAAAAAAACCCACAAATTTCCAGATTCAATGAGGAATGATTTGATCTTAACTATCTTTATTTCTATGTGACTAGCTTGGTAAGAGTGTGCATATAATTAATATATCTCTCTATATATACATATAATTACATATACATACATATAAGTACATATAATTAATATCTCTCTATAGATGTATATATATACATACATAGATAGATATAGATACACATATGTAGATAGATAGATAGATAGATATACACACACTTACATACTTGTTCTTTTAAAATCTCTTTAAATCTTATCCTGCAAAGAGGAAAAATCTCCCATCAGTGACCATCCATGTGGTGAGATATGACCTCACTGATAGTGGTTCATTCATTCTTATCTCTCAATGTTAAGGGCACCCAAAAGATCTCCTCTGTCCTGCCTAACTTGTCTCTTTCTTCTTGAAGGATGATGTGTTAGTTCCCTAGAGCTGTTGTTGCAAATTACCACCAGCTGGGTGTCTCAAACAACAGAAATTCACTCTCTCACAGTTCTGGGAGTAAGAAATCCAAGGTCAAGGTGTCGGCAGGCTTGATTCCTTCTGAGGGTTCCTCTTCCCAGCTTCTGATGACCATGGCAGTCTTTGAATTTCTTGGCTGATCTCTGCCTTCACATTCACATGGTTTGGGAAGAGGAAAGATGGGCAGGGGCTGGCCATCATCATTTGAGGGTGTCTGTGCAATCCTTGCTCTTTGTCCTGCAGTCTGGGCTCCAAGTACATGACATGCACCTGGTTCTATGCCAAACTGGACTCCTGAGAAGAATTGACAGAGAACGTTTGCACTGGCCACTCAGAAACAAGATGGAGAAAATCCACTCAGTTTCTGAACAGAGAACTGTGAACTTGACACTTCAGGGTTGGTTCTATTTGGCCAAGTTTGTGTCAAGGTGAGGGTGCAGCCTCACTTCTATTTCCTGCTCTCCCTTTCCTAGTTCAGCTTCCTCCTAGAATCCAGCTGTGCATCCTTTCTGTGGGTTTACTAAGCTCTCCCAATATTCTTCCCCGAATGCCTTTTTTATTGTCAAAATTCATATAAGGAGAGTTTATCTTTAGCAACTGAAAGTCTTGACTGAGACTCAGAAGATGGAAGGACAGAAAGTGAAGGAAAGATGGTAGATCAGGTATCCTGGGCCGTGCTCAGAGACAGAGGTTACATTTAAGTTGAGAGAATTGCTCCTTCACCCTCTAGCACCCCCAAACCAGCAGTAGGTGCTTTCCCAAGAACAGGTATTGCTCCATGGTTTCCACAGACGGGTTCCAATGAGTAAGATGAGGCTTTGTTTATCATTGCTTCCCCACCCAAACCACACTCAAATAAGCAGTGAAAACCTCCAGACCTTAGTCATCAGTCGAGGTAAATTATAAACTTCTAAGAGTGTGGCTTCTCTGAGATACCACATTTTCCTCGTATAATGAGCCTGCAGTTTGTGGCAAAGAATGACTTAAGAACAAGTGAACTCACTGTCTAAAAGGAGAGTTTTTATCACTATCAATTGCTCTCTGACTGACAGGGCTGTTATTTCTTTCGGTAGGAGAAAAGGCTAAAATACAGAGAGAAAACCTAGAAATAAACACAGCCTGCGTAATGGCAAGGTTTTGTGTTGCCAAAGTCAAAAGAGCAAGTTCCTGGGTAAGAAACCTCATCTACTCCTTCCCCTTTTACAGTGATTCTGTATCATCCATGGAAATTAAAGCAGCTGCCACATCTTCATCACAGTAGCGGCTGTGCTGCACTGGGAGGCAACAGGGTTGAAATGCCGTTCCCACAGTTGAGAAGCTCAGAGTTAAACTGGAAGTGGTCAGCAGTGCCCTAGGCTGCGTATGAAAAGTCCTCCAAAGCAGGTGGACAAATGTTGCCTCATGGACCCAGAGAGCTCCAATGGAATTTGCCTTTGGGGGGACATCAAAGGCTTCCCAGAGGAAAGGGCATTGCGGGTAGATACTGCAGAATGCATGGGAATAAGCATGCGGAGGACATGAAAAGTATAAGGTAGGAGTGGGTGAGCTCAGATAGTAATCAAGGACTTGACCTGAATGGAATGTGGGACATGGGAGAGGAGGCCAAAGGAGAAGAAGGGATGGGGTCCCAGAGTGTACTGGTTGGCAATAGCAGGGAGAGAAAATGTCTCACAAGCTTACTTATCATGCAGTGGTGGACATAAGCAGATTTAGGATTTAGAAAATCACTCTCGCAGGAATGTTGAAGGTGTACGTGGAGGCTGAAGGATGCCAAGTTATACTGGAGCAAATTATTGTGGGAAACCAAGTGAGGTATCCTGACATGACATTGAGGCATGGTTTGTAGTCTTTCTGGTCTTGCAAACCAAAGAGGAAGTTGAGCGAGTTCCCCTTTTTAAATGTTCGCCCCACGGTTAATTTTGTATTGTTACTAGGAAAATTCTTTGAGGCAGCAGCAGAAGGCACATTGCAGATGGCAGAAATATTTTTCACAGCTTTTATGGTGGATAACAATATACTTGACATTTTTCTCATTAAATGTGAGCTTTGCTGTATGATTAAACACGCTAGGCATCTGTGATCTAAAATTACAAATGTGAAAAGCAACAGCTCAAATGTTTCAGTCAATAAATACACAGGAGACAGTCAACATGTAACAACTCCTTCATATGCTCTCTTCAAGGAGCTGCTCCGCTGACATTGACAACGGTTTTGGGAATGGCTTCACCTTCACGCTAAGGACAGCAAGGACACTGATGTCCCAGACTACTAATTACACCCTGGAATTCCAATAGAGGTGAATGGTTTCCATTAGGAAATCTCAAAACGCTGAGGACCGACAGAGCTGGGGAGAGAATGGAGGTTTTATTGAGGCAATTAGGGAATTACCCAAGGGATCCCTGGAGGGGTAGAATTGCACTCAGCAATTCAGACATAATGGAGAAGTGTGTAAGGTTTGTGGATGAGTCCAGTCATCAGTAGCAATGTGCTTGCTGTTTGTTGAGTCAAGTCTCACCAGTGTATGTGTAGGCGTTTGTGTATATGAACCCACGTGTGTATAAATGTGTCTTGCACTCTCTGCCAAGGCGGGAGACAAGGGTTCCTGAGTGACAGCTTTCCTCCCCTAGGCTGATCATGGATGATCCATTGGCACAGGCTGCCTGTTGTCTCCACTGAGAACAACTTTTGTGTCTAAGTTAGCTTCCTGGCTAGGGGTACTGGGTCACTCACTGACATCTGCATGAATGGAGAATAGACTATGGGTGTAACCATGTGGACAGACAGAAAACAGGCAGGTGTAGATCTCAGCGAATGGAAGAGAATCCACACACAGTGATGATAAAAAGCAAAAGCAGAAATTCCAGCTGAAGAGATTCTGCCTAAATCACGGGAAAGGATGCTATCATGCTTGGTGCATCTGCATGTTCTGAAGACATATTCAGTGTACAAGGATGAAGGGACTGAGAGACTGAGTCAGGAGGACAATGGGGGCGGGGGCAGAGGAATGTGGCAAGGTGGCTGAGAGGAGCAACTTGGAATGAATGATAAAATTATAGAACAGGGGTGGAGGCAGCAGGAACATAGTCAGAGTAAGGAATCCACCACCTAGCCACAACACAACCCTGTTTCTGAGTCATGTTAATAGGAGATTTCTTTTCTCTCTTTTTTTTAATACTTA